GATAAATATTGTACAGTATTAAGCATTGGCTAATTATATTTATAATCTAAAATTTTAACCTACTTACCGGTAATATCTAGATACTTTCCCGGTTTTGTGTGATGACTTCGCGCAGCTATCTTATTTTGATTGTTGTGATTTCTAACATGATTTTATTTGTTATCCTGGTTAATTAGCATTAGAATTATTATTATTTCTAATGCGAGCTACTTCAAACAAAATCCTGTTACAGAATTTATACACTATATTGGTGACACAATATTTGGTTATATTGCATTAAAATTTCTATCGTTAGTTACTGAAGGAAGAATCCTATTGCAAAACTTATTTCCTATTTTATTCTATTGCAGAACTTATTCACTATTTTATTCTATTGCAGAACTTATTCACTATTTTATTCTATTGCAGAACTTATTCACTATTTTGATAACCACAATATGTAAAGAATATTAATTTTACGAAATAAAAACAGTAAAACAAGTCCAAAAAAAAACATAAATACTTATTTACCATTATGTACAAATCATTTCATTCGCATTAATTTTAGTTAGTAAGTATAAAGAGCATTTAACAACTTTATGAAATAAAAATAGCAAATCAAGTTAACAAAACTAGAACCTAATTTAGTTTGTACGTATAGAGAAAATTTAATAATTTTACGAAATAAAAAACAGCATAAGTTCACAAAACTAGAACATGAATACTTATTTACTATTCCATACAAATCATTTCATTCGCATTAATTTAGTTAGTAAGTATAAGGTACATTTGATAATTTTACGAAATAAAAAAAGCTAAACAAGTTCAAAACATGAAAACTAATTTACCATTACATAAAATCGTTTCATTCGGATTAATTTAGTGGGTGGGTATAAAGAATATTTAATAGCTTTACGAAATAAAACAACAAATCAGGTTCACAAAGCAAATACATAAATACTTATTTACCATTACGTACAAATCACTTCATTCGCATTATTTAGTTTGTAAGTATTAAGAACATTTAATAATTATATGAAACAAAAACAGTAAAAAAAGCATACAAAACAAGAACATAAATACTTATTTACCATTACGTAAAATCATTTCACTCGCATTAATTTAGCTTGTGAGTATAAAGAAAATTCAATAACAAAACAAGCACACAAAACAAGAACATAAATACTCATTTACCATCACGCGAAAATCATTTTATTCGCATTAATCATTCCATTTAGCTCGTGAGTATAAAGGACATTTATAATTTTACATAAATACTTATTTACCATTATGTACAAATCATTTCCTTAAAGAAAAATAGCAAATCAAGTTCATAAAACGAGAACATAAATACTTCTTAACATTACGTACAAATAATTTTATTCACATTGATAGCATTTAATAATATTATGAAATAAACCAGTAAAACCAGTAAAACAAGTTCACAAACGAGAACATAAATGCTTATTTACATTATGTACAAATCATTTCATTCGAATTGTGAGTATAAAAAAACATTTAATAATTTTTACAGCAAAGCAAGTTCACAAAACAAGAACATAAATACTTATTTACCATTATTTATAAATCATTTCATTCGCATTAATTTAGTCGGCAAGTATAAAGAATATTTAATAATTTTACGAAATAAAAACAGCAAAAAAAGCTCACAAAACAAGAACATAAATACTTATTTAAAATTACGTACAAATCATTTCATTCAGTCCGTGAGTATATAAAACATTTAGTAATTTTACGAAATAAAAACAGCATGGCACATCCATAAAACAAGAGCATAAAATACTTATTTACTATTACTTACAAATCATTTCATTCAGCTCGTACGTATAAAGAATATTGAATAATTTTACGAATAAAAACAGAAAAACTATGTATTTACCTTCATGTATATTTAGTTAGTGAGTATAGAGAACATTTAATAATTTTACAAATAACAAGTACACAAAACAAGAATATAAATACTTATTTTACCATTACGTACAAATCATTTCATTCGCATTAATTTAGTGGGTAAGTATAAAGAATACAGTTTAATAAGTTCACAGAAAAATACGTTAACAAAATAAGAACATACTTATTTACAATTATGTATAAATAATTTCATTCGCATTAATTTAGTTTGTGAGTATGAAAGACACTTAATTTTACGAAATAAAAACAAGATCACAAAACACGGACATAATTATTTAATATTACGTACAAATTGTTTTATTGCATTAATTTAGTCGGTGAGTATAAATGATATTTAATTTTACGAAATAAAAACAGTACTTATTTATCATTACGTACAAATCATTTAATTCGCATTAATTTAGTCGGTGAGAATAAAGATCATTTAATAATTTTATGAAATAAACCAGCAAAACAAGTTCACAAAACATGAGCATAAATACTTATTTACCATTTCGCACAAATTATTTCATTCGTATTAATTTAGTCGGTAAATATAAAAAAAACTTAATTCGATATAAAGTTTAAAACCGTAGATGCGAAATAAAACATTATATATTATCTAGAGATTTTGAATGTGGAAAATGTGCACATTGTAATGAAGATAACACTCAACCGTATGGTGTCTAACATGCGACCCAGACTTAGCAATCAGGTGGACAGTTGGAGATCAGGCCATTGACGATTGCATGAAAACGTTTCAACTTAGAGCTTTTGCATATGAAGAAGCGATTGAATGGATTCCATTTGATAGATTATCAAATGTTAAATTAATTGGTAAAGGAGGATTTGGCTCCGTGTATTCAGCAACTTGATTGGATGGCATGCAGGAAGTTGAAAAAATCGATGACGGCGATAGCTATATCTACAAAAGAACGCGTAAACCATCTTGCATCGTTGCACTCAATACATTGGCCAGCTCTAAGGAAAACAAATTAGATTTTTAAAGGAAGTAGATTTATTGTCATAGCTGATGCTGAAATTTAGGTGCCATATTTAAAAATATAAGCCTGCTAAAATCCACCTATACTCTTTAAATATCAAATATAACCCTAAAAAAAACCCCCCCGAAAAATCACCCAAAAAAATTTTAAAATTTCATATAAAAATCGGTCAAAATTTCAGAATCAGCTGCGACATTTATTGTTTAATAATTTATCTAATAGTTGTTTGAACTAATTTATTGGTTAAACCTTAAGTTTAAAAGTATTATGGAATGTAATTAAACTATAGCAAGTTCGCAATATATGGAATAACTCAAAATTCAGAAACAAAAGAATACCTGATGGTATTTCAGTATGCTAATAATGGAAGTCTTCATAAATATTTAAGAAAAATTTTTAGTATACTTACTTGGCAAGCTAAATTGAAAATACTTAAAGATATTTCATATGATTTATGGCTAATTCACGCCAATGCAGGATAGATTCATGCAGGTCTTCATGGTGGCAATATTTTGCAAGACCAACAATCATATATTGCAGATCTAGGATTGCCTAGAAAAAAAATGAAAAAGTTTTGGAAGGAGATATCTATGGAGTTATGCCTTATGTTGCACCAGAAGTTTTATCAGGCAAGCAACAGTTTACACAAGCAGCAGACGTTTATGGATTTGGTATAATTATGGTAGAAGTGTCGACTGGGCAAAGACCTTTTGATGGTTATAAATTCGATACAAACCTTGCAGTCAGAATTTGCGATAGAGAATTACGACCAGAGTTTACACCTGGAACTCCTAAACCCTATATTGAATTGGCCGAGGTGATCCACAAAAACGGCCTAAAGCTTATGATTTTATAAAAAAATAAATGGTTGGCTTAAGAATACATCTAGATCAAATGACAATGAAATTAAAAAGCAGTTTTTAGATGCAGATAAAGTTATTAAATCATTGCCGATATCATAACATCCTGATGAAATGTACACTAGCAAGATTATTGACACAAAATTAATTTCAAAGGCGATTAAAGGTATTTATTTTCAACTAATATATTAAAATCATACTATATTATTTAATATTATTATTTATTATTGCTATTTAGATTTATCTCAAGATTCTACTCAAACTAACTTTGACATTTCTGAAGTCTGAAAGCTCCACTATGTATACAACAAATAATCTGGATAAATGGTAATAGTTTAAAATTTGTTAAGCACACATCCTGTGATGTGCTTGTACATCATCCAATGATCTATCAATTAAATTTTTTGACAAAATTTTTACGAATTTTTGATATTATTAAAAATTCACAATTACAACTATAATAGTATTCATAAGTTTGTTTGTTTTTTTTGTTTTAAAGCGAGACCTCGCTCATATATTTACTATTTGTTTAAATAAATTTAGTATTAAAAAAAAAAGAATTTTTTAAAAAAACTACTAATAAAGTTTTTGTTATATTCAAAAAAAAACTTAAATTTATATATCTATAGCAAAAACTATTTTAATATATAAAAGTATTTTACAAAAAAAATTAGCTTATAATATACGCATATATAATTATAATATATTATTTTGGAATGTGGTAGTTATCATCTTTAAGCAATTTGTAGCAAAATTACAAAGTTTGATTTTCACTAAATATATTTTGGGAATTTATATTTCCACACCCTAGGCTCATTAGAATTAACTCATTATAACTATCATATTTGTAGTAAAATTGTTTAGATCACCAAATCAAAAGTTATTAATTGTTAAATATTTGTTATTATAATAATTTTGAATTTTATATAGCTAGTTCAATAATTTATTAACCAATAGTATTATTCATGTAACAATATTAAGATATCTTAGGTATTTTATCTGTCTATAGTTACTATTGATATAACTAAAAAAATTAACATAAAATGGAACATGTAAATTAATAAGGTACTGAAAATGGGTATAACTTAGGTTGAAATACACAATGTAGATATAACATATGTATGACTGCATCTTCATTTTTTTTCCGCCATTATTCTACATCAAGAAGAGTTGCTATTATCAATAGCGAGAGATGCATCTGTTTTAACAGAAGTTAATAATGAGATATCGATAACATTCCATATAATTAGGCTCTCTTTCCTAAATTATTAAACAGTTTTTGCATTGAGAAATTCCTATGTTCTTTGTTGTCAAGTTTTTCTTCAGTACCATGTTCTTCAGACTGTGAGTCCAGTGCTAATGGTAAGAGTATATCTTCATATTTATTTTTAAATAATTTCGTTTTTTTGTACCAAACCCCACGGAGAGATTATACCTGATTTTTTTAAAAATAATAAACCAACAATTGTAGGTGTGTAAGTGTGTAAACTAATTATTCAATTGTGATTTAATTTTAAAAGATCTACTTACCAATTAAAAAGCGCATAAAGAGCTGCCATGGCGCTCCAAATAATGCCTAGTAAGTTTAAAATCTAGTTATTTAAAATAATAATAGTAAATTTTTTTTTTTTTTTGAGAAGGTTAATACATATATCGCTTACGGATTTGCTCCTATTATTATATGTAAACTGTTAATAATTGATGATAAAATATTAGCAGAATGATTTACTTTAAATTATTTACTTAAGCTCTTTTTTCTTTCTTTTTAAGGCTGTAAGGATCTGTGAAAACTGTATTTCTCATTTAAAATTCTGATCGTATTCTCTAGAGTTATTAATCAAACATCGATATTTTAGATATTAACAATGAATAATAGACATGATTTTTGATAGAAGTGTTCAATACTGTTTAAAAATATATTAGAATTTGTATCATCAAGTGGAACAATCTCTAGAGTTAATAAGAACCCAATTTTAATATGAAGAGTAAATTAAAAAATGGTTGAATGTAAATATTCCTACGTATATTTGATTCAAGATAAGGTAGCTCTTTATAATTCGCATAACCAAAGTATCTTAAAAAATTTGGAATTATAGTTTTCCTTAAAATATATCTATAATTTTTTTAAATTAATAAAATTATTACTTTTCAAATTACTTAGTATACATCCACTATCGTAGGGGTCTTCTATATATCGATTTATGTCAGTTATTTTCCTTAAAACTCAAAGAAGCCGGCGTGGTGTTCTTGCAAATTAATCTACTAATCTTTTTCCGCCATTTGATCCAATTCAGTATGATGTATAAATCAATGTATTTCCTTATTGTTGATGCTTTTTTTTTCTTTATGATCTAAAATACCTATATGATGTTCTTGCAAGGTGCATTTCCTAATGTTTTTTCTCTTTCTGATCCAAGCTTGTTCTTGTGAAATACATTAGTTAATGCACTTTCTTCTTATAATCATTGAAAGATCCGAAAAGTCGGCATAAATTATTATAAAATGATCACCCAACAGCGCAAAAAATAAAATTCACACTAACCTGAAGTGCATTTGTTGAAGACTCGACGGAACGACAGAAACGACGAAACCTAAACAATGAAATTACGCCAATGAAACTCCCAGTAACGCAATAACGCTGAATGACAAATCTACATTCATATGATTTGCTCCAAAGTAAGAAAAAAAAGTTTATATACCCCTGATTGTTACGTTACACGGGAATGCGGGTATAAAAAATTTTAATATAAATATTAATTCTACGTATTGCAAATAAAAATATCAATTTGATAGACACTCGATCTTAACCTTCGCAACCAAAAAAATGTTTAAAAATATTGAATCAAATTTAATGCCAATTCAAGGCGACAAAGAATCTGAACCAAGCGAAAACCCCCCTCAAGAAACTGGATCACACGAAATAAAATACTTTTTATTAGTAATAAACTAGAATTCATTAACATTTTATGATACTGTATAGTATGTAAGTTAGATAATAATAGTTTACCAAATAAATTTCAAATAAACACTTTTTTTAAAAAAAGTAAAATTTCACAGCGATTACGTAACTGATCGTTAGTAGTCTAGTCCTATAATCTTGTGATATCAAAGTCGTCTAATTCTAAATGAGATTATAATACGTATACTCGATACAATCCATTACAATCAATTAAAACATGTATCGGTATTGTTCTATACCGATACGTTAAAAACAGCATGGTTGGCAACCCGAATTTGGCGGTGATCGTCGTAATTAAATAAAAAATTTAATTTTGAAAGTCTATCGACTAAAAGCATTAAAAAAACAAAGTAGCAAGAAAAGCTCTCATAGACTTATATTTTATTAAAAGTAATAAAAAATAATCAGAATATTCAAGAAGTAATTTTAGAAACAAACTTATGAAAGGTCGATACTGTATCTTATAATCCAGTAGGTAATAATTTTTACGAGATTCAAAACCTGATTAAAAATCGTGCATATGCTAGAAAATTTCGGACTTTTATTGTACCGCGTTAACACGGGACAGGATCGGGTTTGTGTATTGTTTGAATCGCGTGATTGATCATCAACTAATATAAATAGGTTTTGCTTTTATAGTATTAGAACCATATACACGTCAATTAATGGGTCCACTGCTTGTACTTTACAAAGACTAATATACTTCCACCTAAAGGAATACTGCGTAGATGTTTTAAAGGTTTTACATATTCCGCCGTCTTTTTTTTTGATCTTGGAACGTTTCGCACATGACAGAGACCAACCACAAGAAGTTCTCCTCGTAGCAAAAGAATTATTGAAGAAAAAGAGAGTAGGTATTTGTGTAGGATGAAAGTTTAAACTTGGCTATATTGGTTTTATTATTATATTTTTATCCTTTATAAAAATAGTGAAATTTAAATTTTTCGTATCTAGCAATTTCAATAATTTGTTTGATAATCCTTGCTATAACTTATATCTAATTTAATTTTTATTCGATAAAGTCTCAATTAAAGGAAGTAGAGTTTATGTGGCGAGATCTCGAAGTCTTGGGTGAAGTAACCAATGCCCTTGGAAAAAGAAGGCTCGAGACGTAGACACAGGAACTTCAGGCATTACGACAAAGCGAAGAAGAGCGGATCCGATTAGTGCTAAGATCTGTGGAGATCTGGCAAAAAAATTTGATACGGTTCCGAAAGGGGTGGACCTAGATCTTGAAATGTTTCGAGAATGTTTAGGCATTCCGCTCGATATCAACAGGAATCGATCCGACGTAGAGTTGACCACTAAAGGTTACTATCGCCCGGACTTAATTTGTAGATTAAAGAGAGCGGTGGTCCTAAAAGGGGAGGGAAAAGCTAGTGCAGAGGACCTAAACCTTGCCCTTGGTGATTTGGTCGATAAATTTCACCGAATAGATCTGACAATATTCGGTGAAATTAAATTTTTAATGTGCTATGCAGTGGCTAGGCACAAATTGCGGTTCTATGCAATTGATGGGTCATTGGACGATTTCACAGGACCGAATTAAAATAATTCATAATGTGATAAATATAGTTCGTATTATAATGACAATTAGCACCAGCTTGTCCTAATTTCTCGTCTGTTTTTTTTTCTTCTTTTTCAAATATTCATCTGTATGTTGTGTTTTTTTTGGTTTTTTTTTCTTGAGGTCTAAAAGGATTGATGGAATTATATTACATGGCAATTCTTATTTTTTTTTATTTTAGTTTTATTTTAGTTTAGTTTTTTATTTTAGGATTTTTTTTTTTTTTACTCTCGCTTGTTTTTGATATTTACTTATGTTTTTTTTTAAAATAAAATATTATTCATTTGTGCATATTAGAGTTGGTTAATCTGAAGTTATATTGCTTAAGTAGATTTATTTATTTTATCACTATATCCAGGGGTACCGAAAAATTAATTGCAATTAAATTTTTTTACAATTACCATTTATCATAATTGTTACACGAAAATAATTGCGATCAATTAAATTGTAAATAATTGCAATTATTGCAATTAATTGTAAATTTTACTATGATAAGAATTTAAAGCGTTCTATCGCTATGTATAATTGTTTTATATATTTTTACGTACGTACGTACATACATACATTAGCACATACATATATAACAAATGTTAATCGCATCCAAATACGAACTACAATCAATTGCTATTAACAGTAATTGTAAACTATATCGGGTAAACTATCTTCTATATCGGGTATCAGTATAAAAACTTTAATGCTTAATTTGGTGAACATCTTGTATTGACCAAAGTTTGCCGTTCATTCGTAATAGCAAAAGATTTTCCAAAGTAAGTGGATCAAGGGACTTTCTCCAGTCCGTA